ATTATTTCTCTTGATTTCAATGCTCTTGCTCTCCACTTGGAGATACTCCAAGACTAGAAGAAATAGTTTAGGCAAGGCTTTTCGGCTTGGAAACTATCAATTGTTAGATAAGGCTAGTACTCAGGGGGTGAATTAGGTGACACTTAATTTTTTTTTATTTTAAAGATGAGTAGAAGAAGATGATAAGAGACTCAAGGAGGAAACTTTAATACCAAAGACTTATCTTGGTAACCCAAAATTTAGCCTACATCAAGTCCTCAATATCACTCTTGAAATTTTCAGTTATAATCACAAGCTTCAATGGGTACTAACTTTAGTATAACTCTTAAGACTTGAGACTTAACTAGTCTTGATTCAATTACAATCTTTGCTACAACCAGTAAGTTATTACAACTCACTTGAAAAATCTCTTTTTAAGATTTCAACTTGATTGAAAAGAAAAATTCTCTCAAAAATTAACTCTCTGAAAAGAATAGATTGAATACAATGAAGACTTAAGAATTTATAAGAGCTTTTTCACAAATATGTCAAAAGTTATATGAATGAATGCAAGACCTTTGATGTACAAATAGAATGTTTTCAAGAATGTTCAAACTTAACATAGCTCACTTAATCATCAAAATTCTAGTTCTAAGCTTGAATTGTGTCATATATATAGTTTGGCAATGGTCAGACTATTGGAATAGTGAATGTAGCCATTGTTGACATCTCATATGTGGAAAAGATGCGTGAAATAAAAATTAAAACAGTTTTAGTTAAAGCATATATGACGAATCAAGTATGGAACACATGATGACTCATGTGTGCTTGTTATGACCCATGAATTTTAATTGAACAAATTTTTTTTACCAAGGGCTATTTTATTTAAATAAATTTTTCTCAGCAAGTTTGGTTTATTTTTTTAAATTATAGGAGAATTGGGTCCTTTTTGTAATTTTCCTTGGTTCTTTCTTGTAATTTTTTGTGTGCCTTTCCTTGCAAATTTTCCCAAATTTATTTGATCAAATTATATATCTTCACGTGAAAGAAAAATAGAGCGTTCCTACTTTGCTTCTTCACCGACTTTGAACTCTCATATGTTGGATTTGAATTTGGTGACTGTTGCACCCGAAAATGCGACGTGGATGGCGCGAGAGCAAAGGTTCCGACCTTCGAAAAGAAGACCAGAGAAATAGGAGTTGCTACCAAGATTTTGAGGGAAATCTTGGGAAATCGTTTAAAGGTGGATAAAAATGGTCTGTAAATTTAGAAAAAAGATTCGGGAGTCGGTTGAGTGTGGGGAAGGTGTTAGGCACCCCACAACACCCGTTCGTGAGAACGGTTAACTAAAGTTTGTTGTGCTATGTAAATATGATTTTAAAATTTATTTTAATTATCCCTTTTATATTCATGTGTTTGATATAAAAAATAATAAGAATTAAATGAGAAATATTTATTTATTTACGAGGGAGGACTTGACTCAGAATTTGACTCTGAGGCCTACGTACCCTGTGATGGGATCAAAGTCCATGTAGTTCGGGACTTATAAGTTGTTGATGAAAATATTTTTGAAGAGAAATTAATTAAAAATAATTTACCATTTTATAAATAAAACAATTTCTGAAATTTTGGTATGTGTGTTTTAAATTACAGAAAAGTGATTTAATTTCAATCATTTTCTCAATTTTTGATTTTTTTTGTTGAAATAAAGAAAAGAGTTTAAAATTATTTTTCATGTTTTATTATTTTTCTTAGAAAATTTAACTACTATACCTGCAGAGCCTTATTAACTCATACGATGATACAGTTATTCTAAATATTTGCGAAAATTTCAAAATCTCTCATGATAAAAGGGTGAAATAATGTAAATATTTTAAATACATTTTTAATGTGTAATTATATAATTTACATTTTTAAACATAAAAATATTAATCACTATACTTGCGAAGTCTTATTGATTTTCACGATAAGATGATTATTCTAGAGGTCTATAGACATTCAAAAATCTCATATGACTAAAAGATTTAATACATTAATTTAATTAATTAATTTTATTATTAAAAAATTTATAATTTATTTGCAAAATCATTTATTTATTACAAAAATTGAGAATCACTATATCTGCGAGGACTTATTATCCCACACGATGAGGTGATTAATTTAAGTCTCTATGGAGATTCTTGAAATCTCTCATTAGACTTAAATATTTTATTATATAAAAAAAGAGTTAATTTTAATGATGGGCCTTTGAAACCCCCATTATTATATAAAAAATTAATCCTCATACCTATGAAATCTTATTAATTTTCACGATATAGGATCATTTTAAATGTCTATGGAGATTCTTAAAATCTCACACGATAAATAAACCATAAATATATGTATATCTATCTCCCTCCGTCTCTCTCTCTCTCTCTTTCTTTTTATACTTTAGCCTCATATAAGGAAGTCATGACAACATATGGAAATAGAAAATACCATGAAGTATTACGCATGAATAAATTTTAAAAAATGAACAAAGATTAATATAAGAATCAACCCATGCCATCACACATTACATTTTCTAAAACATAGTAATTAAAAAGATTGAAAGACAATTTGAGAATCAACTATGCAAAACTAAACGTACCTAAATTAGACACGTTGGATATCTTATAATATAAAGCATCACAAGTTTGTTTTGCAGACACCAACATTACGAGACGAAGAACTTGTCAAATTTTCAAAATTAGTTGACAAACTTGGTGATTAATTTTCAAGTATCAATAATCTCAAAACTTGAATATGACTATACCCTTGAACCATTAAGATACGCAAGATTGCACACAATATTTTATAAATAACTAATTAAGTACTCATGCAAATTTATGTCCACCGTAAAATCTTAAAAAGAAAAGGAAAAAAGGAATAATATCATTCAAGCCATAACTACTTTTACCTTTTAGTAGGGACGGTGTTTTCTTTAGCTCCTCCTCCATCTTGACTCCTTCCCCGTGGCGGTCCATGGATTTCTTCCACCTAATGATGTGGAACAGGTGCCCAATCTGTTTTCACCACTTAAGGGGCTCACGTGATTTCTCATACTCTATCATCCTCTTCTTGGGGTCCTTGTTGGGGATCATTGAGCTGGGATGGTTCCAGGGCACGTTGCAATTATCCAGAGTCACCTCAGACAGTGTTCTTCCCCACGATGCTACCCCATTCCCTACAAACTTGATTGATATGAATATCTCTTCGAGACTGGAAGAGGAATGGCAATAGCGGTTGCGAGAGTGAGAATGAGAGAAAAGAGAACGAAAAGGGAAGAGGCTTTGGATGGAAGAAGAGGAGTGTGGCTTGGTGCGAGAGGAAGTAAAGTGGCTCTATTTTTAGGTGGAAATAGCAGCAGCAGCTCTCGTCTCTCGGTCCCGTGCTCTCTCCTTCTCAATCTCTGTTTTTTCTTCCTTCGGTCGTGCTGCTTCCTCTCTCTCACTCTGTCTCTGTGCTCTTGTTCTCCTCTTTTCCTATGCTCCTTTCCTGTTCAGTTTTCGGTCTCTCCCTCTCCTCTTTTTCTGCTCTCATTCTCGATCAGTTTTCGGTCTCCTCCTTCGTTCGTTTTCATGCTCTGTTTTCTGCTCCATTTTCTCGTCCCTGTGTCTCCCTCTTGGTCTCTCTCTTCTCTTCATCCATGGCTCTCTCCTTTTTCAGTCTCCCTTTGTCTCTGTTTCTCCCCTCCTTCTCCAACACTCTCACTCTTTCGTGCTCTCTTTTTTTCTTTTCCCCTCCTTCCATTTTTCTACCTGTGCACGTTTTTATGCTCTGTTTTTCTTTCTTCTGTCATGTCTCTCTGTCCTGCTTTTGCATGCATTTCTAACTCCTTTTCTTTGCGTGCGTGCTGTGTTTCTGCTCCTTTTCTTTGCGTGTGTTCGACTGTGTTCGTGTGTGTGTGAGTTTGCTCTCTCTCTCTTCCTTTCTCTCTTTTTTTTCCTGCTGTGTTCGTCCCCGCTCTTCGTCTCTTCTCTGTGCAACTGAAAGAAGATAAGGATGCTGTACTTTTGTCCATTCTCTCTGCCTCTGTGATTCAGATGACTTGGGTGGCTTGCTTTGCCTGCTCTTTGGTTCTTCGCGTGACTGGCATTCTCTGCGCTGACGAAGGTGTATCTGTTCAGCTCTTTGTTCCTCTCGTCTGGTCCAGCAGAAAGCCCCCTCTGCTTGCTTTCTCAGCGTGTCTAGCCGGCTGTGGCTCACCCTCCCATTGTATTAATTAATTTATTTTTTTATGCTTAATGCCCCCTTTTTTGTTATGTTAATTAAAATTTTGGACATTAAATTAAGAGAGAAAAAATTAATTATGCAAGATTATATATATATATATATATATTTAATGGAAAGCAACAAGATTTAAGCAAAGAAATTTTTTAAAAAAAAAAAATAGTTGATTCTTGCAAAGTTGATTTTCAATATTTTGAATGATTAGGATAATTTGGGAGAGGTTTTAAAAGATTTAAGCAACATTTTTTTTAATTTTGTTAAAATATTATCATTATTTTTTAAAATATAATCCTAAAAAGTATTAAATTTTATTTTTTTTATTTTTGATTATTTATTATTAAATTTAAAAAAATGTCCGGATAAAATACAGTGTTGACAGTGACTGTATTTAATACAGGCATTAAGTGCTTGTATCATCTGAGTTATTAAAATTTAGATCAATAGTTATAAATTTATACTTCATTTAAAATTAATAAATGAATAAATTTATCTGAATTATTAATTATATTTTAATATTTTAGATGATATATGCATTGAATGTCTGTATTAAGTTATGTAAGTGAATCCAAATCCCTCTTCTGTCATCACCGTCGGACTCTTTCTTCTTAGCGTTGGCTTGCTCTTCCTCTCACCCTTGGCCTACACCTGGCTGTATTGGTGCGTCTCGACAGCTGGAAGTGGGACCGGAGTCTGCTCCTTCTTTGCTGTCATCTCTTGCTTCTCTTCCAGGTTCCGTGTGCGCATTTGTGCATTTAGCTTCAATCCTTCTCTCTTCCCATCTGCTGAACCGTTTTATATATGAGTATGATAAGCTAAATTCTGCTCTTTAATTGGTCGCAATTTCTGGTCTTTCTTTTTCTTATTCGAGTTGCAGATCAGAGCCTTCTTCCGTCATCAGCGTCGACCACATGCTGATCTTAAACCGTCAACGCTGCACTCAGGTTTGAGGTAAATCATTGATCCTCTCGTCTCCTCGCCGGAAAATGTTCTTTCTCTTCCCCTTCGCTGTTCGTCTGTATCTGTCTGGCGTTGTGCTAAATTTCTGCTCTGCATGGTGACTAACGAAGTTGGTGTATGCACGCATATTTAGTCTTTCTTTTTCTCCCTCCTAAGTTGTTGAAAGTTTCGCGTGTGTGTTTGGTAGCTCGACTATTGCAATTGTTGGCTGAAATTCTGGTCCGTTTCTAGTTCGTGTGGGAGACCGAAACTTTTCTCTTTTTCCTTTTTGTTTTTTGTTTTGTTTTGTTTTGTTTTGTTTTTTTTTTTACGCAGAGCATCTATTGAGTGATAGATGTTGCCACTAAATTTTGTTTGTGGTGAGTTGTTAGGTTTTTTCTTCTTCTTTTACGGTTTCTACAGCAGCACAGTATCATATTTTCTCTCCTTTGGCTGATGGGTGATTTTCCTATTCTATATTGCTACTGTTATGCAATTCTAGCAAGAGTTGAGGTGTATGTGTTGGTTAATGATGAATATTATCATGCTGTGATGCTGGGCATGAGGTGTCTAATGTGCCTTTTGTGCTGCCCTTTCTGATGCTTCTCATCTTAGCCATTAATTTCATCCTACATCCATGAACAATTCATTAATCAAAACTATATCGTTTAGGAGGTTAAATCTGGACAGTGCATTCCAACACTTAATCCTAGCCATTCATGGCTTTTAATTTAAAACCACCGTCTTCCTCATCACACTGGCAGGGAAGCTAATTACAGAAACAGAGTCTCAAGTGCGGGAAACTTCTGCACAGGTATGTGGACCTTATTAAGCATGGTTTTTGACGCTTTTTTTATGATTATTAGTGCAAAAATGATACAAAAAGGCTATAATATGATAAAAACCTACTTTTAAAGTTTTTATTGAGAATGTTGAAAGGGGCAAAAACTTTAAGAGATACTTGGGACTGCTCTGTTCATTATTCGAATTTAAAATATGATGGCGATTGTATTGTCATTTCAAATATTTACTCTAGGTTATATTTATCATGTTGCTTTTCTTTATTTACTTGAGTTTCTCAAGCATACATTTTTCACACCTCCTTTATCCGCGTTTCTTTAGACAACTTATAAGGAATGATATGAAGAACTAAGCTATTCTAATGCTTGTGGTTTGAGATTGGTCATTGCTTCATGTGGAAGATAGATGAAAAATAGTTTTATGTATGACTCCTATGTGCTATACCAAGGTTTTTAAGAAGGAAACAACATCTACCTTTCTTAAAGCATATTAAAAAAATTCATAATCAAACTCACACTTTAGTTAATTTTCAAAAGTGGTTTATGTATAGAAGACACATTTTCTTTATAGTTTAAAAGTCATTTTTTCTTCTCATTCTCTCCTACTGTATTCCTGTTAAATTTTTTCCTACTTAATTGGATCTTTTAGCTAAATGTTTGGATATGTAACTTTATGACAATATGTTTTTTGAACTTTATGCTTTTTTTAACCATGAATTTTGATTTTTTATATAGATTTAATTGGATGGATATTGAATTTACACCCAAAATAGGCCTTGAGTTTGAATGTCTAGATGATGTACATCAATTTTGCATCAACTATGGAGGTAAAATGGGCTTCAATATTAGGAAGCATAATTTCACCTATAGTAAGAGGGACAAGTCTATCATTACTTGTTTTAGATATGTTTGTAGTAAGGAAGGAGTGAGAAGGCCAAACAAATGAGATTATAAAATGAAACATCCTTGTGCAGAGACTAGAACTGATTGTAAAGCAAAATTGATTGTAAAACTTGTGGATGGAAAATGGAGAGTTAGTGAATTTGTTAGTGAGCATAATCACTCTTTAAATCCTCCAAATTCAGTGCACTTTTACGATCTCAACATAAAATAGGTGCAGCTCAAGGCAATAAAATAGAAACTACAAATGATGTTAGGCTTCAACAAAAAGCTACATTTAATTTGATGAGTAAACAAGTTGGAGGTAGAGCTAATTTGGGGCTTATAAGGGAGGATGTTAAAAGTTATTTGAGGTCTAAGAGGCAGCGGGAAATGAAGTATGGAAAAGCTAGATCTTTATTAAAATATTTTCAACTATAGTTGATAGAGAATCCATCTTTTTTTTCATACTTATTAGATGGATTTTGATGAGAAAATAACAAATGTGTTTTGGGCTGATCCTTAAATGCTAATAGATTATGCTTGTTTTGATGATGTTGTTTCATTTGATACAACTTATTGTACTAATCGTCAAAAATAGACCCCTTGCTATTTTTTCAGGCTTCAACCATTATAGAACAGGGGTAATATTTGGTGTTGTGTTGTTGTATGATGAGATGATAGAGTCATTTAAATGGCTTTTTGAACCATTCTTGTAGGCTCACAAGCAAAAGCAACCACGTACTTTCTTTATTGATCAAGATCAAGCAATGGCTAGGGCATTAGAGGATGTAATGCCTGAGGTTAAACATGGCTTGTGCATCTTCCATTTGCATATAAATGGTGTGAAACATTTGGCAAACTTAATAAAAGATGGCTCACATTTCTTGACTGATCTTAACAAGTGCTTGTATGACTACCATGAAGAATTTGAGTTTGAGGATGCTTGGAGGAAGCTACAGTTGACTTACAATTTGGAAGAAAACTCTTAGTTGTGCTCCATATATAAGGTAAAAGAAAAATAGGCAGCTTGTGATATGAAATATGCTTTTACAATTGGTATGCAGAGCACTCAACTAAGTGAGAGCATTAATTCATCTTTAAAGGATTGCATGAAGCCTGAACTTGATATCAATACATTCTTTAAGCTCTTTGAATTGGTAGTTAATGGTAAGCGATATACTAAGTTACAACATGACTTTGAAACACGTGAAAAGCTGCCTAGATTAATTATGCGAAGTGCATTGATGCTCCAACAAGTTTCTCAAATCTACACTCCTACTATACATGATGTCTTCCAATATGAGTGGGATTATAGTTGTGCATACTATATAAAAGAAAGAGATGAGGCAGGTGATGTAAAGCAATATGTGGTTAGATTGATTACTAAACCAGGAGAGTGGAGAGTTTCTTATGATACTACTAGTGGTTTAACCAATTGTAGTTGCATGAAGTTTCAGCAATATGGAATAATTTGTTGTCATGCATTGAGGATATATACACATCTAGAAGTTGATGTACTTCCAAAACAATATATAATGAGAAGGTGGACAAGGGAAGCAAGATATGGAGTTGTTCAGAATATTCTGGGTAATGAGATTCAAGTTGATCCTAAGATGAAAAGTTCAATGTATGTCCTATATTTGTAAGGTTAGTATCTGAGGCTTCAAAATGTCAAGAGACTTTTTATGTTGTGCAACAAGGGATCATAGAACTTAATAAGAAAGTTAGTGATATTCTTGCCATGCGTGAATCTTATGAAGATGATACATCCTAAAAAATATATACAAAGTATTCTATAACTGTAGTTTTGAAAAAGAGAGAGGGGAAGAAGTATAAAAGGCGATATATGACTTGGGTTGATAATCAACCTAACAAAAAAAGAAAAGTGCAATCTAAACATAAACCTAAGGTAAAAATATCATTTTACCATATGCGTCATTTTTATTTTAAACTTGATCAATAGTAATTATTTTTTATTGTAGGGTGCTAAAATGTCACAAGGAAAGTCCAACTCAGTCATTGAGAAGCAAAGCAATAAAAGAAAAAATATCCAATCCTCACAAAAACTTAAAGTAAAACATAATTTTTGTTATTTCATATGGTCTTCTTTTTAACTTTGATCATTACTAATCTTTACTTGCTTTTATTGTAGGATGTTCAAGTGCCACAAGATACCTCTAACTTAGCTTCACAAAGGCAGAAAAAGAAAAGAAAAATCAAATCTCTTGGCTCATTGGGTGCATTAGAACATGGCATAATTTTATTCAAAATTTGGCACATTACATGTGTTCTAGCACACTAGAACTTTCAAATCAATTATTTACAAGCAGTACATTTGTAAAACTTTAACAATGCTGTCTCTTTAACATAGGTTCTCAATCTAGCACCATCAGTCACATGTGAAGATATGTCCCATGATCTTAGCCACTACTCCAGCTTTAGTTTCATTCTAGTTCAAGAAGACATTTTAATACAGTCATTTAGCCAGTAAAAGGTAGCTCTTTTAGTATTTTTGATTCATTTTGGTCCAGTCATTTTGACAGTATAAGGCAACTCCTTCAATATTTTTGATTCATTTTAGGTCTTCAAATTATTCAACAACAACATAACATTACTAGGAATTGTATATTTTGCCAATGTAATGTGATTTTCACTCTACAATTCAAATAGATATTCAATGTAGAGTTTGTTCATTCAATGAAATTTCAAATTTTCATTTTCTAAATCTCTACTATTATAACCAGCATAGCCTGCATAAACACAACAATAGTACCTACTTATTTTTTGTACAATCAGTTAAGAAGACATATAATGTTAACAAGACAAAATATACCCAAGTCAAATGTACAAGGAAGTACTAAAATTCCAACCACATATGATTTAAGTTATAAATGCTCAATATCAAATGGAAGTCAAAGTCATAAAATAGATTATAGATGTGTTCAGGTCAGCATGAAAGGGGAAAAATATTTTTCTTCTTTCAATGACAATTTATAAGCTATGCCAAAGAAGACTAACTTGCCAAGTCTTCACAACACATTCAATTCCACTTGAAAAGCTGAAATATTCCATGTCTTCCTCACTTGAGTAAAATCCCAACTTTAGCAGTGCTTCCTGTTAAAGTATAAATAAATGTTAGGCACAACTGAATATTAGTGAACACAAAACCAAAAAGGGAAAGAAACTCAGAATTTAAGGAGGAAGAAGAAGGAGAAATATAGGAAGAAGTCAGATAATGTACAAAGAAGATCAATCAACAAAATTCACATCCCCATCTCACGTGAGTCATCATTGGTAACTATCACAAAGAAGTGATTAAGGCTTCAACTTGGGTAACCGCAGGGCTAGCAGAAAGCAACTCGTCAAACGTTAAAATAGGAATCTGGTCATGGAAGCCAGTGGGCACAGCAGAGGAAGACATAAGGAAGCTAGAGTAGTTGGACGAAAATATCTACATCTTCATTGAACTTGTGCTCTGCCATTCGAAGTCAGAAAGCTGGGGATGAAGTCGTCACCAAAAGGTAACTTAGAATAAAAAATAGCTGAATCGATGAACTTAACATTGTTGGTCAAAAAAATCAATGAATTTAACATCAAAAGAGATCAACGACTAGGATTTGTTATGTGGATAAGCAGTCAAGATTTGTACCTTCAAAAAAATGTCATTTCGATTAATGAAATGTTTCTACCTAATGGATCAATTGAAAGGATGATATTAGGCACATCAGGCAAGGCAGTAGACTCTAGGCAGTAGACAGTGGGCAGTAGACACCCTTTTCCCTGTGATGCTAAATCGAATTTAAGGACAGAGTTAACAATTTAAAAGTTGTTGAATTGCATGAGTGCTTATCTCATAAGTCTATCAATCAAGGTATTTGTAAAAATGTGTGAGAGAAGAATTTGGTGAATTATGGGTTGTTAGAGCTCTCATGTTATAGCTTAGAGAAATATCTATAATTTTAATTCAAGTTATTAATCAAAAATTTAAAAAAAATACCAAAGTGGAAGAAAGGATTTTGAGTCACAATTGTTCTAATCTAGAGGAAGTTTAAGAATGATCGATAAAGTTTATTATGATTTAACTAATTCAAGTGTATTCAAACCATAATTTGTTAAAGTATTATCTTTAATATTGTTTGGATTGAATTCAAATGCCTAGTAACTGATTGAATTTTTTTTCTGATAAATGATTTTAGAATTATGATTTATTTGTTAAAAAATCAAGAACACCATTAGAATTAAAGTGAAAGATTAAAAAAAGCACGCTTTAGAATTTTAAAAAACTATCAGGTGAGTGGGTAGTACTCTGAATAAATTTCTAGTAAAGTATTTATAAAATCCTTTATTTAAATTTTGTTATTATTCCTTTATAAATTGTGCAAATATCATTGCTAATCTTTTTTTCTTCTAATAATTGTCTTATAAATGAAAATTTCTTGATTTTACTGATGACTTATATTGTTGATAAGTAATGTTTGAAACATACATATGATAAATGATAAACAATTTTTTTGAAGTAGTTTAATTACTGAATTTTATGTTGATATAAAATTTTTAATGCAATGATTCATGTATAGAAGAAACAATGATAAATTTGGACAATAGAAAATGATGGTTAAATGGTGTTTGAAAGTGAAAATGTTAAAATTGTTTTCTTGCTTCATACATGCTTGATTTTATTAAAGAGAACCAAGTTCAAAATGTTGGATGCTAATGGAAATCTCGTTAGCCCTTGGCATACCATGATACACCTAACTAGCAGAGTGTTTATAGGAGGTGCTAATCTCGTATGATGGCCAATGCATGTGGAACAGAGGGATAGTTATTTGTGAACATCGTACTTTTGCTTATTTTTGCAGGCTTCATGCCTGCACTTGTTTCATGGCTTTCAGCTGCGATTGACTGATTACTTACCCTTGTGGATTGTGTGTCCATACTGGATTTGTCATTTATCCTCATAGACTATGTGTCCACGCTTGTTATTTATTCTGATAAAGCCCTCCTAAATTTAAAATAAAATTTATCATTTACCTAGTAATTCTCTAAAAGTACTTTATCGAACTACACTGTTATCGAAAATTTTTATATTGATGAGCAGTAAAAGTTTTTTTATACATTTATGTGAATCTATTAGCATTGTTTAAGTTCACGATTATATTATTAAGAAGAATCATTATTTATTTATAGTTTAAGAATATGATTTATTATTTTATTAAGTCATTTTGAGTTAAACTTATTATTTACTATCTTCATATTTTCTTTATTATAATTTTGATTAGGATGCTACTTATTGATAATCTTTTTTGTCTTAGATATTGTAGCTAACCATACACCTCGCTGATCATTGAAAAACCCTTTTGTTTTGGAAAAGAAGAAGCTTATTGTGATTATTGTTTTGGTAAAGTTATGTATTTTATTTTCTAATCATAGCTTAGTACTTCACATGAACCATAGTTAGCTCCTAGTCTTATTTTGTATCATATAAATTGCTACATTGGAGCTAGTCTCCTTACTGGTTTGGCTTGCAGGTTTTGGTTGTTGTGAAAATTTTAGGAGGTTCAAATTATAGGAGGGACTTTGCCAAAATTTTTACAAAACATTCAACACTTTATGAACTTTATTATTGTATATAACTTACATATACAGATATTTTAGCTTGATTTCTAGTTAGTCAAGACTTATGGAATATGAATTTCCCTCATATTTCATGCCGATCATACCCTTAGTATCGAGATGTGACAGATGGTATCAAAGCCTAAGTTTCATTGGGTATGTGGAACAAGGATTCTTCTTTAGAGTTTCAATTATTATTATAAACCTTGGCATAATAATAATTGAGACTTCATTGAAGATCTTATTAGGATGTCCCTAAGGAATCATTTCTTTCCTTACTTATTGTGCTTTTTGTATAACTATTGTGTTTTAAACTAAATATTCCTTATGTTTTCTTGTATATTGAGAATGCCATCTTGGCGTCATCCCTCTGTAGAAGCTCTAGTAGCAGTAGGACATTTGATAAGTCCTCTGCTTTGATATGGAATTAGTTGCTTATCCTTAAAATTAAACTAAAGTTAACCCTAATGCAATATAGGGCCAACCCTAAGTTATCTTCCAAGGAATGGTCTTAAGTCTAATTGAAAGTTATCTAGTGAAATAAATTAACCAAAGTTTGTAGGAATTTAGTTACCTAGCTAATTATCTAAACCAATTACCTAATGTGTAAGTAATTAAAATGCTAGTGAAAGTGAGTGAAATGAACTTCCATTTTCACAACAATAGAACCCTAGAGATTAGTTGATTTTGGACTCATTATCTTCTTATGATTAGGCTACATTTAGCTTCCCTTTTCTCTTGATTGAAGCTGTCATAACTTAAGAAAATTATCCTAAGCCAATTAACCTAATTAGCTAACTTCCCTAGGTCTTAGATTAAAGTCCCTATTTCAATTAACCAATTGGTGAAGAAATTAGCCAAGTAATTCACTCAAAATCTCCTCAACAGCCACGGTCAAAACAATAATGTGAGTAACCACAAGATTATGTCAAGCTACTCAACAACACAAGCATTAACACCACAAGATTACGCAATATTAACACAAGTAATTCACTAATTAAAAAACACAAGATTATGTGCCTAACAAAGAGTGGCAAGATTCAGTCATGGCTGTCCAAGGAAGAAATTAAATGAAACAATCCTCTCTCTTTACATCAACATCAAATTCAAATTAAAATTTACAAGCTAAGATGATTAAACCCCTAATTAAGGAATCTAACCATCTAGTAAAAAGAAAAGAGGATAGAAAACAAAAGAACTTAGCCAATTTAAAGCTCAAGACTCATCCTCCATCTTCATCTCTCTAGGATTCCACAAAGAGGCTTAGCCAATCTTCATATTCAAGAACCCTAGTGATTGCTTGTGAAGGCCAAACTCCATAGTTCTTGAATGATGGAAATGAGCTTCAGTCCTTGTGAAAATGAAAGGGATGGAATGAAAATGAAGATAGGAGAAGAATGGTATGAGTTTTGTGGAGGTTTAGTGGCTGAAAATGAAGGTTAAGGTGCTGGAAAATGAAGAACAAAAGAGAGAAAATGAAGAACACTATGAACAAGAGAGAGAAAATGTGGAAGATGAATGAGATGAGTGTTGGATCCAAAAATGAGGTTGAATGGACGTGCTCCTAAGTGTTTCCCATCAGCTGAATACTCAATTAAAAAACAGGAAAAGAAAAAAAGGAAAATGGGAGCCTTATCACACTTGCAAGGTGGCACCCTTCTATTAGTTTGTAGATGATTCCAATGTGTGCATATTTTTTCATGTGTCATCCACATCATTTAAGCTGATTTAATCCCTCAAAATAATTATAATTCATGTGCAAATGATCAGCCATTGACCTCAAGGATTATTGACCTCAATTGCTCAGTTGATGCACAAGTCACATGCTACCTATGTCACATAAATCACATAATTCAATTAAATAGCATGTGATATAATAAAATCTAATTAATGTCCAGAATTAAATTCATAATTATAAGGGAGAATTAATTAAAATAACCAAGTTTCAGGCTATAAAAAATTATATAAAAATTTTCACACAAAGGCGAACCGAAAACTAGGTCAAACTAAGACTT